TACTGTAACATCAATATTTCTGTGTTTCTTAGTTGCATCATCGGGTGGTGAAGAGGCTGCCGGCAGCAGGTGTGACACCAATCATCCGTGCGACCAGGGGCGGTGCTGTAGCCGTTTCTTCTACTGTGGTAGCGACGATGACCATTGTGTCACTTATTGTTCGTCCCAGTGCCGTCATGCACCACCGCCGCCACAAGGAAGCACAGCCGCCGTCGTATGGCGGCGGCCGGATCATCTTCTGATTAATGCAACCCATAAGAATGATGATGATCTGGTCAATAGTACTATTAACTCATCGTCGCCATGCGGCGGGACTTCTCTCGTCAACGTGCCGCTGGCTATGCGTAACAAGTATGCTTTGGCTGCTTTCGGCGCAAAGAAATCGCTGCCACAGCTTGAATCGTCTTCATCTTCGGGAGCACCACAGCCAACTAGCAATGCTACTAATTATTGCGGCAAGTGCATGAAGGTACGTAATTTAATTATACGTACCATATATTATTTTCGATAATTGACTCTTAAGATAATATTTTTCATGCTTTGATGTATATGGTAGTTGACAAATCGAGGAAGTGGAGCTGAAGCGATGGTGCGAATTGTTGATGAACGTAGCACTGAGGGTCTGGAGTTGGACCGTGAAACTTTCGACAAGCTTCGTGGAAAGAGGCTTGCAAATGCCGAGAGTGAAGATGATCGCCACCTTGTGCTGGAGTATCGCTTTTATAACTGCAGCTGAAGACGGAATAACTTAAAGGAGAGGATGGGGCTGTTCACTTACAGTCAATCAAACTTATACACAAGTATGAAGTATCTAAGAGCTACGATCATGATGAGAGCTAATGAATCAGAATGTTAAGGAAGTACTACTACTAATAATAATACAGAGAATAATAATAATAATAATTATAATTATAATAATAATAATAATTATAATAATAAATAAAAAAAGTTTAAGAAGTACGTACTTCGTATTATAGTCGTGGGTGTTGATGCTGGAAAAATAATGGTTTTTCTATGGCTATATTATTCATTCGTACGTTGGGGGGAGGTGTTGAGATATGGAATCTGAAATTGGGGGGAGCAGAAACTCCGAGGACCTCTTCAATCATCCTTATCGGGAGGAGAAACTCCGATGACCTCTTCAATCAATCTTAGCTCGATATGCTTTCAATCCGTAGACCATAGTACTCTTGTCACAGTCGATGATGCTCAATTACTTGCCGAAAATCCCTACTTTCTCTCTTGTCGGGGAGGAGGGGTGGCAGGGTTGACGATGAGAGTGAGATTATAATCATAATGAAAATAAAGAACAAAATAGTAGTTTGTGGGGGGAAATCGGGATGAATTCCAGAAATACCACTGTTTAATTTTTTTCCAAAATACATTTAATCCAAAAAAATTCCAAAAATAACACTATTCTTTGAAAATCGCACACTAAAGGCGCGGTTTACAGAAGAAACGCCTTGGGAGGGAGCGGTTTTTGCTAGGGCAGCCAAAAAACAGTCTAGGGAAGTGACAGTCTTCGCTGACATAGATGTTATGGGTCGAATTTTTTTCGCTCAGGTTTTATAGCTATCAATTTTTCCATATCCCATAAAGGAGCCGAATGAAACCAAAGTTTCGTGTTCGGTTTTGAATTAGAGACGTTAAAAATAATGAATCAACGTCGACTATAACCCCTAGCCTTCCAAGCTAACGATGCGAGTTCGATTCCCGTTACCCGCTATATATCTATCTAAACTAATCTAAGTAGCGTATAATAGAATGTAGTAATAAAAAAATAAATATTCCGAAAATTTGAAATAATTCAAAGAACTGTTTGATAACGGAGCAATCGAAGGACGGGCTCCGCGTCAGTGATCAAGAACCGCAGGTGGAGGGTGCGGTTTCTCAACTGGGAAAACACAAACCGTGGTTGGAGGGAGCGGTTGTTGTGTGCAAAATTACAACCCCCCTCTCTATTTCTTCATACCTAAACCCATTCTTCTCTCTTTCTCTCTCTCTCTCTCTCTCTAAAATTATCTCTATCCATCCCCCCTCCCCCAACCCAAAACCTATGAAATAATGGTCTGTTGGTTGCGGCTAAGTCCGAACTGTCATCAGAAGACATTTATCAGGTTTTTCTTTCAAAACCCGTCGAATCTCTGTCCGACTTCTTGAAAAAATGGATGATTTGTGCGAAAACTAGGATATTTATTATGATGACTATCATACGGTACGTACCCATTTTACTAAATTTTTGTTGCTCTTATAATTTTTTAATGGATCTATATACTAATTAATTTATGTTGTTGTTACTATCATAGATTGGGGAGGACGTGAATATATACAATCATAGATATTATGTTGATTAAGGACCGAGTGATCCAAGCTTGTTGTACGACCAACCTAACCATCGTTCAAAAGATGTTTGGAACGATCAAAGGGTACATACAATGCTTCATCATTTGTCATTTTTGTATTTTGTTAGCGTACTTAGTGGTTTATAAAAATAAATTTGATAATTTTTAATCGTATTGATTATTTTCAATGGTTTTGGCTAATACAATGCGCCACTTACTTAGACTCTTTATAAAAAGATGCATGTCTAACGAAATGAGGTCTTAAGCGATAATCTCGATCCTCCCATTTTCTGGAAAAATCGAGTTTTAAGTGATACTCGAACTCCCCTTTTTATGTAAAAAAAGGTTGTGTTTCTAACAAGATGTATACCCAGTGGCGGAGGGAGCCTTTGAGGAGAGGGGTCATAGGACCTCACTTAGCAAAATTTTGGGTGTCAAAATCCTTTAAATATATGTGTTTTAGCATGATTCTTAAAAGATAGGACCCCATACTTTCGTTGATATTACCTCATGTAAAGACCCCAATCCATTCGAAATTTTTAAGGACCCCGGTCCATTCAGAATCTGGCTACGCCATTGTGTATACCTCTTTTCAGAGTCTAGCGAGTGTACTTGTATTTGAATAAATTATTGAAAACAACCAATAGGATGGTGAAAATTAAATATTTGTTTATTTAAATTATGTTATAATAGATTTATAAATTAGTATATCATAAACTTATGGTGAAAGTTAAATTTTTCGCAAGGATGCACACCGTATAGTCCGCTATAGGGGTACGAGAAATGTGCTCTCATGGAACAACGCCATCTTGCCCTTTCTCAAAATGGCAAGGTTGTAGTCGATTAGGCACTTTGTAGGGATAAGGATCGACCGTCAACTCATCACAACATTGGTGAAGAGATGGCGAAAGGAGACACATAACTTCAACTTTCACGAAAGAGAGTGCACCATCACACTAAAGGAAATCGCCATCTTAACCCATCTGCCCATCGATGGCGATGTGGTGTGTGTGAACGACCTTCCACCACCAGATGTTGGCGAGCTGATCGGTTGGCAGCATTTGCTCTACACCGTTTTGGGGTTGCAAGTGCTAAACAAGGGATGCGTTGATGCACAGGACCGCAACCCACCATTGAGGAAGAACCAAGTATCAATCACTTGGTTGATAGCGGCGATCAGGAGGAAGCACGACTCTGAAGAAAATGGCATCCCCCTCACCAAGGAAAGTCGTGAGGCGGAAAAGGGAATTTATGATCATGTCTATCTCATAAGCATGATCGGAGGAGTGTTCTTCCCCAAGAAATCCAACAATTTAATTAGCAATGTGTGGTTGAAGATCCTCCTTGGTTCTTGGGAGGGTATGGGGAATTTGAGCTGGGCATCCGCTTGGAAGGCGGATCCAGTGACTAAGGGGGGGTGCTTAGTCACTTGACTAAGCCCCTCCTAGCCATTAGATCTGGACACTTCAATCCAATGGTTAACAAGTGGGAAAGGCTATTTAATTAATGACAGGGGCAGTTTGGGTATTATGGAAAATTAAGAAGTATACAAACCGGATTTACGATCGGTACAAACCATACAAACATACAGACAGTACAAACTAGAGCGACAAAACATACAAACAGATTTACAAACATTACAAACGTATGAACTGTACAAACAATACAAACTAGACCGACAAACAATACAAACCATACAAAAAGAAAAAACAACCAAGTTGACTTTGGAGGCTCCATCCCTATATAGAGGGGCTTCTTCCCAAAGTCAGCCCGGGTGATTTTTAGACATACAAACATGGTGGACAAAAATGACAAACTAGACCAAAAATTCATACAAACTAGAAAAACACCCGGGTTGACTTTGGAGGCTTCATCCCTACATAGAGGGCTCCGTCTCAAACATTACGAACATGGTGGACAAAAATGACAAACTAGACCGACAATCCATACCAACTGGAAAAAACACCCGGGTTGACTTTGGAGGCTTCATCCCTATATAGAGGAGTTCCATCCAAAAGTCAACCAAGTTGTTTTTTTATTACAAACATGGTTGACAAAAATGATAAACATGGTGCACAAAAATAACAAAGTTTACAAACATTACAAAAAAAACGACAAACATTACAAAATAACAAAGCGTACAAACATTACAAAATAAACCGACAAACAATACAAAACATACTAACCGTACAAAAGGTCACTAAAAACGACAAACAATACAAAACGAATCTATACAAACATTACAAAAAAGGTCAGCAAACATCACAAAATCCAACACTGTCGCCGAAAATTTCCTCCGGTCTCCGAGAAGTTTGCTCTTGAGGCTTGAGGGGCTTGAGGATCTCGAATGCCATGTGTTCGTAGAAAACTAAAGGTTGCATACTTCTCAAGTACCTTAGTGAATGGTAGGGTTATCTTCAAAACGGCTTGAATGAATCTCTTGTAAAATCCATCATGATCAAGAAAGCTATGGATTCCTTTAATAGATGAGGAAAGGGTACCTTGCTAATCTTTTCCATCTTCTATTTGTCTACTTCAGAAAACTTTGTAAATGCCATGAGGAGTCGATCTCGCATATCTTTTTCTTATGCCCATTTGCGGTTACGATTTGGGAAAGCTTCAGAAAGAGATTTGATCTTCATGGCCCTTACCCTCCTTCCACTCGTGATTTCCTCATTGCTTGGCGAGGCTTGTGGTGTGATCAACGGTTTAGTGAATGCATTAAGTTGTTGCCCCATACAGTATTGTGGTTCATCTGGTTGGAGAGAAACAATAGAATTTTTAGAGATGTTGATTCCTCCCCACAAGATATCGGGAACAAGATTGTTCGTATGGTCGGACGGTGGCTAAGAGTTCGTAGTCGAATCTCAGATGGACTATTTCACGAGTGGGTGACGACCGGGACAAAGCACCTTATTTGATCTTCGTTCTCTTTATGTTTTGTTTCGTTTTGCTGTTTTGCTTTTTTTTTCTCTCTCTGTTGTAGTCTTGTCTTTGTACATAAATTTAAGAATGCTTTTTTTTTATTGTCGCTAGCTTGCTCTACTATTGGTTGAGCTGCTAGCAATTTTTTTCTAATAAATTTTTTAATCATTCATAAAAATAAAAAAAATTAATGTTCGTCTTTCTGTTTGGATTCGATTCCTTTCTTTGGAAATTTGATTCCGATGACAATCCGTTCTTGGACCATGAAGTGACATTTTTTTTTTCAATTAAGGGGTAGATTAGTCTCTTCATACCTTGTCAAAATCGTCTTTAAGTGGAGGAGGCAAAGGTTGAACGAATCCCCAAAGACTGAAAAATTGTCTATGCACACCTCCATTATGTCTCTCATTAGCTTGTCAACAATATGTATGATGTACCTTTGATACCTTGTTGATACATTGCACATACCTACAGAGATCATTCGATAGACAAATGTACAAAATAGACAAGTGAAAGTGGTCTTCTCTCGATCTTTGAATGCAATAAGGACCTAAAAGTAGCTGGACTTTCCATCAAAGACACAATGAATTGATAGGCATGTCCCGAGAGACGCTCTATTAATTGATCAATGAACGCCCCGTTGCATTCAAGTTGTTTAGGAGCTGAAACAATCTGCTCATTCCAAAAGCTTTCTCCTTGTTAAGTTTCAAGTCCATGTTTCCACAAATAAATCCGGTTTCATAAAAAGACTTGGCACATCAATTATTTATCTATTAGCTTCTGTGACACATAAGAGGGGATCAAAGAGAACGGTTTCCTGGTAAGAGAACAACGGTAACCAAAGTTGTCATATGCAACTTACAGCAGCTCAGAATTCAGATTACCATGTAAACTAGCCAGTTTGTTCTGTTGTTCACTGCTTTTGGTTGACGAAATATATTTATGTATATGTATTGAAAAGAAATAGAAGCATGAACTTTACGTTTCATATAGTTTATACAACCATTCAGCCCTCCTACTTCAGAGTATTCATTCAACATGAATAGAGGTAAGCGACTAGAGAGAGCTCATATACCAGTATTTGATGGACAGAGACAGAGAGACAGAGGGAGAGAGAAACGCATATGGGGGGTTAACTAATACCCAAGATATGTACAGCCGGCCATCTAAAACAGGAGGAAGAACCGCTGAAATACGATCAGGAGCACTGCAAAATTGAAAACAATCATAAAACAATCAAGTAAGCAACCTGGGTCAAGCTTAACCAAGATCAATGGGTTAAAAACCGACCTGAAAAGGAGTTCAACAGGGCACAAAGATTTTGTAACTTACATCAGAATCTGAAGCTGAAGAGATGATAAAGCTTAAAGTCAACCCATTTGCCACTGCATCAAACCAACACTGATCAGTTCCCAACTAATTTCATCTCCAATGAAGACAGCCAACGAGTAAGCAATCTAGACTGAGTAGGCACATGACCTTTTATCATTTCAATATACTAAAGAAGGGACACCTTAATGTACACTCAACACCTTGTTTAATGCCTACATGCAGGAGCACTTGCAGAGATGAAAAAATAAAGCGAGGAGTAGTAGATCAAACCTTGAGAACCGGTTCGCCTTTATTCTGGTTTGCAGATTGCTTTGCCATTGCCTGTAACTGTGCCTTTGCAGCCCTTCCAGCAGCAGATTTTTCGAATTCTTCTTGCCTGCATATAAGTTACCGTCAGCCAAAAACAGTTTAACACCACATCAACCTCATTTCTGTATCGCAAGCTGAAGCCTTGACAGTAGCAATAGTTGCTTTGTCAATCAACCTTCGCCATCATTGTAACTTTCTAGAAAAGGGACAGTTAAAAATTCTGATTCCGTGGCATGAACAATGCAAATATGCAATGTTCGGGATGAAGATACTCAAATCATCAGTTATCGGTTCAAGTATAGTGCTCCAAATTAGATTACGGATATGATCGAATGAACGCCCTGAGAGTTCTAATCATCAAACCACGATTTCAATCAGCCAATTCAATTCAATCCGTTATATCTTAAGATGACGCAGAATCAAGCAATGGACGAATTATCCTTTCACAAACCCAAATTCAGAAAATAAAACCCAACTATGTATATCCGATTACAGCAACAAAATCATCACTATCTAAAATTCTCGGGGAAACATCCAAAATCCACGGATTATCGGAGAGAATTAGAGAATCAAAAGAACAAGCCATTGATGCCGGAGACGGCAAGCGAGGGGGATAGTAAAGATGAATTCACCTTCTCTGAGCGGCTTCGGCGGCTTTGGCTCGAGCCTCCAACGAGACTCGTTCCTCTTCCTCCCGTCTCTGCTGCTTGTTCCCTCCGCCGAAACAAGCAAAGCACGATAGCGCCATTTCTCTCTCCCTCCCTCACCTCTCTCTCTCAGCCAATATTGTTCAGGCTTCGGTTTCACAGTTTTGACCTGATTACAGACAACTGTTCACCCGAACCTTCTAATTTATAGATTCCGGAATTACTCCTCTTTCCCGGCGCGGTCCCGCCAATGACCTCCAGCCACGTCATTCTTCAAGGTCTCATTTGTCATTTCCGTTTTATTCCCCTCGTCTACGACACGTTGCCGTAGGAGGAGTCCAAATTCCAATCCTAACTCTATACCCAAGCTAAACGGTGTCGTTTAACTCGCCGTTGCCGAAAACGCTTTGTAGACAGGCCGATGTTGACTCGAGGAGCTGAGAACTGGCGACTGTTTTAGCGGAGGAAGAGGGTATCAGGAAAAAGGAAAAAGAACAATGGGCATCCCGCCGTTGGAATCGCTTCCGCCGACAAAGACTCTAGAGCTCGAGAATGGCCTTTCGCTGCTGCCACGGGTGAAGCTCGAGCTGACGGTCCATCCAACGCCGTCCTCCGTCGCGAAGCAGATCGACGAGTGGAAGCTGAAGCGCGCTCTGATGGAGTTTCTGAAGAATTCGCTCTCCGTATCAATCGATGTCCCCGAAGAGGATCTGGAGTTCCGGCGGTTCAAGGACCTGAAGAAGCGGAAGCGCGAGGATCCCGTGGCGCACGGCACTCTATCGATTCGCGACTTAGGGTTCCTGACCAGAAAGAAGAGAGGCGATGAGGGTAAAGACGAAGATGTTAAGGAAGTGGAGAAGAAGTTTGTGGAGTGGAGAAAGTACATTGTTGAGAAATTGGATGGAATCGAGCTGAACCTGGAAGGTGATCAGTATAAGCTGAGTGTTAATGTGCCCGCGTCGGATGATTTTCAAGGGATGAAGAAGAGTTGGGAGGAGGCCTCCGTTTTTGGAAATCGAGGTTTTGCTTTGAATTGAATGAAGTTCTTGATTCATTTACCTCCACTTGCTAGCTACTACGAATTGATTTTGTTGATGAAGTTGTGTTGTGATTGTCGAGCAGGGTTCTCAAGAGGAGGAAGGCAAGAACCAGATACAATTGTAGTACGAGGGGTACCATCTAGATGGTTTGCAGAGCCGAGAGTTTCTTCGAAGCCTTCGATGCTCGTTACCCATACCATTTTCTCGGCGTTTGGGAAGATCAGGTAACTCTAGCTTTCCCTATTCGTGGACGACTTCTAGTTAGGTGAATTAGGGTTTAGATGTGCTGCTAGTTAAAAGAACAATGGTATTGCTCTGCATGTTCCTTTTGATATTTCACTTGGAAAGTTTCAACCTTTTGAGCTGCTGTGACCAATTTCTTTATTCATGGACAACCAATATCTCTGGTTAGGTGCATTATGGCTTAGATGTGCTGCTAGTTAAAAGAACAAAGGTATTGCTATGCACGTTCCTTCGATATCTCACTTGAAAAGTTTCAATCTTTTGATCTACTGTGTTAAATTGCTTTGAGCGTGATTTAGCTGGCATATGAAAACAAAACTCTTATTGGTAAATGGTAATTGGCTATTTTTGGACCATGAGGGATAATGATTCCACTCCAACTGAACTGACCCATTTGGGTGTTTCCTCTGCACATAGTATGAATTACTCGTGCTTTCTGATGAAAAATTGTTCACCTCCTCGTGCCAAATAGGAATCTTAGTGTGGTTGAAGATAATCAAGATAAGGTTGATGATGGAATTGGTGGAGGAGACATTATTTCAGGTCTTCACTGCAAGATTGTGGTTCAGTTTGAGAAATACACAGATTTCTGCAATGCTCTTAGAGTTTTGTGTGGCCGATCTTTGCAAAAGGTAGGAGCTCTTATCTGTTCGTATTGTTGGTCTGCCCATTTGAAATTGTGATGCCTGAATCTACATCCGCAACTGCTGCCATCTTTGGTTCCTTCTTTGGGTCTTCATCATTCAACTATAATATGTAATATTAGTAACTTGTAACTTGTCCCGCTTGATTGGTGGGCAGTTGATTTTTGCTCAGTCAGATTTAGCTAATGTATTGTTCTTCACTGGAACAGCAAGGATCCAGATTAAAGGCCGATTATGAGGTTACCTGGTCGAAAGAAGGCTTCTTCCAGAATGCACGAAATCAAGCGGTAGAAAAGATCAGCCGAACCCCAGCAACCTTCGGCGGACATCACAGAAACGAACCCCCCAGCAGGGTTGAACCTTACATTTCGAGGTTCAACTCTGAAGATACACGGCGCAAGAGATTCAAGGTGAGAAACCAAGCCAATTATACAACTAAAAGATCAACACCCATCGTTGCAGTTTAATTGAAAAGTTAGTCAAAGCTGGGCTGCTGCTAATGGAGATATTTTTTGTTTCTTGGAATGCAGGAATAAGGATCAGGAGAGAGAGGAAGGATAGTGGAGTCTTGTTCACCAGGTTTTCCTTCTGGTATGAGAATCTATAGAATTTTCTGCTGACTTTGTTGTACATGTATAATGGGCTTCTAGAACGTTGAAAATTTTCTGAAACCCCTTCCTTCGCTGCTGTATTCTAGTCTTTCACCAGAGTAGTAATTATGAGATAAACTTTTCATTTCCAGCTCCACAAGCCTTTCTGCACAAAAAGGTTTTTGATTGCAGGTGAGGCCGTCATCAGTTACGCGCTTTGCGTACCCCTGGTTCCCGAGGATTATTGGAGTTAGTTACTATTGGGACGCAAGGAACGGGGGAAATGTATTAAAATAACCCTTGCTCGTAATGAAGTAATCAATCTTTTCCGTAAGACGCAAGTAAGGGGACAGGAAAATTATTCGGCCTGCATGCCATTTGCGATAAGATAGTATATTTAGAACATATCGAATGATGTATTGAATGACTCGGTCTAGAATGCTGACGTATGGATGATAGAATTTGTGTATGTTTTTCAAGTTCTCTCTCAACTGCATTTCTTTGTAGTTCCAATTCGAATTCACTGGGTGAATTGCAAGTTTGGTCACCCATATTATCTATTTGTAACAGGTTAGCCACCCGAATCATTTTCGCTTCAATTTAGTCACTAATACTACACGTTTATGTCATCCTTGGTCACTCGCCGTCCAGTTCCGTTAAATCTGTCCTACGTGGCAGTCAACAGTTAAGTTTGACTAGTCAAATGGTGACGTGATAATAAAAAAATTACTATTTTTAATATAAAATAAGAAAAATGAAAAAAAAAAAGAAGAAAACCTACGCACTAACTCCTCCCCTCTCACTTTTTCTTGTGCTGCCGCGAATACCAGATGACCCGCCCCTAACTCCCCTGCCTTTCTCCCCTGTTCCAAGAAGACCCACCGTCGCCGACCGCCGTTACTAGTTGCGAGCAGTTCCCGTGGCGGACTTGTTTCTCCCAGCCGAGGCCGCCGATTGCGAGGAGGTGGAGAAGCGAGAAGAGGTGAAGAAGCAGACACAGAACTCCGACCATCTCCCTTTCAGCCATGTCGTCGCCAGATCTGAACGCCGACGATCTCTCCTTCAATTGCCACCATCAAAGCTGCCCGGTCCAGACTCGGTGGCATCCTCTGTTTTCTTCTCCTTTGTCGTATGATTCTTGCTATCCATCGAATAACCCGAATTTTTGATTTCACATTTCAGTAACCAATTGTAAATTTTATGTCGAATTGATTTGTGAAATCGTGTCTGGTTGGCGCAGCCAAGTGTGGTAAAAAGTGCTTCGAATTCAGCTAAAGAGCAGACTTCGGATGTCGGGACGGCAATAAAACCTCTTCCGGTTGAGACCGGCGTCATCTGCTTCTTGCCGCCGGCGTCTGGTTCGTTGCGTCGTCGTCATCTGTCTCAACTCCATACGTCTTAGCCTTCCCATTCGTCCTCCTCGATCTGTTCAGACTCCGGTTGGTTAGCGTCGATGTTGAACCCGAAACTGCTTGGGTCGAATCTGTCGCAACGCTCGACGAGGGATCTGTTTTGGCCTTTGGGGTTAATGGCGTCGGGTTTCCGAGGGGAGGGTTTGATTTTGGTTTTTCCAATTTTCCAATTTAATTTTTCCAATTTTATAATAATTAAATAATTTTAAATTAAATTATGACATGGCTGCAAAGGTGGCGTCCATGTGTCGGTCAGGTTGTTGCCACGTCACCATTTTAACAGTCAAACTTAACTGTTGACTGCCACATAGGACAGATTTAACGGAACTAAACGGCGAGTGACCAAAGATGATATAAGTGTGCAATATTAGTGGCTAAATTGAAGCAAAAATAATTCGAGTGGCTAACCTGTTACAAATAGATAATATGGGTGACCAAATTTGCAATTCACCCCGAATTCACTACTGCAGTCTACAGAGTGGCGACGGCCGACGGGTAAATTCAGCCTTGCTGGTGGTGGCCACAGTGAATTCTCTCCGCTGCCTCTGTAAATTTGGCCTTGACGGTGGCGGCCAGTAATGAGTAATGACAGGTTGCGGCAGTAATGGAAAAGGTTTTTTTTCTGTTATTAATTTTTTGTTGTTGTATTTGTTGTTTTCCAAGAACAAAAATAATATCGTGTTAGGTTAGAACGATTTAAGTGAAAAGCAAATGATGCTTAGTGATCCTAAAAAGTAGAGAATGAGCCCAACCACATATTTGCTACCCCTATTTTAGACAATCAAACAATAAATTTTATGAAAATTCAATAATTAGTTGGATTAGGGTCCCAAATCCAATAAGAAAACCATCCCTCAATATTTATGGTAGGGACTACCTAATAACCGGTTTTTATAGTGTCATAGTGAATTCAATACACAGGGTTAATGCTAAAGGTTTGTTCTATCCGATTCATTCCGATCTCCAATTGTCACCCATACTCTTTTATTCGTATGACACATCCTTCATCGAAATATTTTGTATACATTGAATCACGGATGAGGGACAATACATAATGGTTAATGAGATATTCCTTCACTGTTTGATATGTGAGGACGGAAAGAATGAAATTTCGAACACTTGTTTGTTCGGGCTTTGAAATTGAAGTGCATCATCTATGTATGATAGTTAAGCTCAATTTCAAATCACTCTCTTCTAATTTCACATCAGAGTGCCAAAATATGATGCTACAGAGTGCAACAAAGACAAACAATGTGCTCTCATTTTGAGATCGTTTGAGAATTCGTTAAATCCAACTAATTTAATTACCTTGGATTGTAGCAGCGGAAAAAAAGCTGCCATGCAAGTTTGACTTTTTTTTGCTTGTATTTCATTTCGCCCATATTTCTCTTTCTTCTTCACCTCCCCCCATCGAGTTCTGACTTGTTGCCCTTAACAACCGGGTCAAGGGTCTTGGGCGTGTTTTCTCACGACCCCGAAGTCGCCAACCCCCAAGCTCCCTCCAAATCATTCGAGATCCGCATCCATCAATCCCTGTCTCCTTATAATCCTCATGATATGCACGATCTTAAGTTTACTCTTCTGCCACTTAAGATTCCTATACATTACGTACACAACAAACACTGGGCTGTATTTGTGCCGCCTCGGCCTCACGTTAGTGTGCCATTATCGTCTCACTCTTTCCGTACTGCCACTGCTATTATTATGCTACCAATTCAACCTCTCGCATGTTATGTACAGTTACGACTTACAATTTTTGTGACTAATCGAATGTGTACTGTTACATTGACTTTACAATTAAATTATCCACCGCATATTAGCTACGAATTTTTGTGCCAACGAGAAGAACTGTGTTGGACCTTCAATCCTATACCAAAGCTTGATTCATGTCTAGACTCATAAAATAGTGCGGACCAACCATCAAGAAGCCGTCGAATTTCTACCATCTTCAATTCTGAATTTGCCACGAGAATCATGGCGACGTATATATGTATAGGCCGCCTGTAATGGCCGAATGATACCATAATAATTTTTAATTCATATAATTTACATTGCGTATCAACAATTCCAAACGGGCTTGAAGTTTGAACCCTTCCATCCCGACTCCTGGCAAAACACCAAAAAGAACGAAAGAACCAAAAAAAAAAAAAACGGAAAAAACTTCTTCTTCTGTTTGTTGTTTTTTACATGGAATCAAACAGAAACCAGAACTCTGAGAAAATTCAACTTCCCAACTGCAAAGAAGGAAAACAAAAACAAAAAAATCAAATCAAAGGGAACCGAACGAACGATCAACAAAAACGACGACGATCAGATTCGAATTTTTCAGAAGCTCTTCCTGTGCTTCAATTCTTTCCGCGGCGGCGATCCAGCTGGCGGCGTAGCAGTCCCCTCGTTGACCGTCTTGATCTCGCTGAATTTCCTCGTGTACTCCTTCCTCTTAACGTTGCCGCTCTTCGGAGAAGTGGCCGTCGACGCCGACGCCGAACTTATTCCTCCGTGATCGGTTGCCGTAGCATTAGTAGCTCTCGGTCCACTCAATTTCCTGACATATTCCTTCTTCTTCTCCTCCGGCCGCTTCGAGGTCAGAGTCGGGACCAAATACCACCCGATCGAAGTGCACAGAATCGCAACCGACCTCCCGAAAACCGCCAGGAACAGCAGAATCAGAATCACCGCCACGGGGACATAAACAGACGGCCGCCGCCACGATCGGCGGAAGATCGAAATCAATCTCCTCGCGTCGCCGCCGCTCCCTGTCACCGCAGCGCAAAAATCAACCGATTCCTCGACTATTTCCCCTACCGCTGGCAATTTGTGCTGCTGATCGGGAGTAGAATTAGTCACTGCTTGCTCCGCCGCGGCTGCGGAAGCTGCTGAATTACTGTGCTTCAAATTCCTATGGTTGTGATTGTGATGAGGATGATCCTTAAGCTCTGCCGATTTCGAGGGCTTCGGATCTCGAATCTTGATGACGACGGGGACGGCGTCGCTGGTGGCGCCGGGGAAGACGAATCGGACGAGAGGCGGATCCTGAGAGCTCATGGTGGAGTAGATCTCCCGCCTTTTCTCGGCCAGATCGGAGAGGAGCTGCGAGAATTTGTCGAGGCCGCGGCCGGAGTACGGGTTGTTGTTGTTCCTGCCGCCCCGCCGGCCGCCCCATGGCTTCCTCGGCGACGGAGACGACGAAGCGGCGCCGCAAGGGAGGTCGTCTTCGTCGGTCTGGAAGCTTGCTCCGCAAATCAATGGACTCAGCATCAGGGAAAACGGTTTTTCGTTTGTTTGGTGATTGGGTTTGTGTATAGAGGGAAAAGATGGGGGGCTGGGTTGAGGAGGATTGTGATTTATAAATGGGGGAGAGTGGATTCATTTCCACGGTTTCTTCCTCATCTTTTGTTTACGCGGTCAAACAATTATTTGAAAATTAGTGAGGGAAAATTATTTATAAATAAGAAAAAGGTGAAAGGGGGGATTATTACGGCAGACTGATAGGCGGGTAAATGGATGAAATTATAATGTGCAGAAGCTTCTATGTTGATTTTGTGGAGTCTGAGTTTGACTTTCTTGGGGAGGACGAAATAGATCGCAGTGGCAGGCATCTGTGACATGTGACACCATTTAATAGTATGATTACTATTAATCTGGTATGGATGGGTATAAGCACATTTCTTGGATATACACAGTAATATGGTAAATCATCATCACTTTGTATATTCAATGCTGCTGAATTGTAAGATGAGTGGTACAATTAATGACCTAGTCAGGATTTCACTTAATATAGGTTTCATTTCGAAATAGAAATAAATAAAATAAAATCTTATTAAGATTTAAATGACGTGATATTTTTACATAGTTTGCGGAGAAATTTTCGTTTGAGGATAGAGAATTCGATACTAAACTGAGAATTAGTAAACTCAGAATAAGCAATCAGAAAACACATTTTTATGAAAAATATTAGGTTATTTATATAATATGGAAGGTTAATGTGTGTAAAAAAAACTCTAGAGTTTATTGGTGGACAAGTAAAACCATGAATTTGAAGTATTGGGATCGAGTATTATGAATTGTGTACAAATATTATTATTTTTTTGGTGTCCTAATCTAGAGTCAAGATGGGTCTCGAAACCAACCCTATTACGAGGTGGCTCTGCCACCGGGTGCAACACATTAAGCACGTAGATGCATTAAGAAAACTTATGTTTTCTAAAAAAATAATAATTATAAAGATAATATTATATTTCCAAAACAGGTTTTTGCAGGAAATTCAAATCGGATCTTCTACTTTTAAATTATAAAAAAACCTTTTCTCACTTTTTTCTAAAATCATACTTATTAAAGTGTTTGGCAATTTCAATTGGCACTTTGACTAAAATGATTAAGCTTTTATAAAGCATCCCCTGTTTGACCCGGATTAGTGCCGGGTGATTTGTGTGGAACCTTGATCCGTACTCCCTCGTGTGATCTTCTCGGGAGTGGAAGAATCCTGTGGAGAGTCGGGGGCGGCCCCCGTGATCTACACTCTGACGCCCAAGTTAGAATAGGATATATGATAGAGTGTAGAGAATGTAGAGAGAGATAGGGTTTAGAGAGAGAACCATAAGTGGTAAAGTGAGGGAAAGGAGAGAAGTCCCTTTGCTTGGAGGGTTTAGCCTCCTTATATAGGAGTCAGAGGTATCCATTGGACGCCTCCCGTTGTAATGGACGCCCCCGGTAAACTGGACGCCTTCCGTCGATGGACGTCTTCCGGTGAATGGACGCCTTCTAGTGATGGACGCCCCCCGGGTGGACTGGACGCCTCCCGGTGTACTGGACCCTAGAATGGGCTTGGGTCAAGGTGAGACGCTTTGTGGTGGGCTTGGGCCCGTATTAGGCGGGTTAATACTAGACCCAACATTTGCCCCTTTGCTTCTTGTATTCTGTAAGAATGGAAGGAGTAAAATAATGCGTTAAGGTGTATTAACCTGCCTTACTTGCGAGTCCGCACGATGCGGTTTTGCCCCTGGTGCGGCCATTGCTCGGTGATGGATGCCCCTGGTGATGGACGCCTCCCGGTGGACGAGACGCCTCCCGGTGATGGACGCCTCTAGGTGACAGTATGTCTCCCGGTGATGGACGCCCCCGAGTGAATTGGACCTTTGCGAGTTTGGACGATGCGGTTTGCCCCTTGTGCGGTCATCGTCTTTGCTTCTTTGCTTAGCATTCGATGTCTTGAGTTAGAGCTCTCAAGTCGTTTGAGATTTCCCCACTAGCCCATTGTCAAGCGTGCTAATATGTAGGCCGTAACTGTGAGCTGTATGCGTTAAGCTGTTGGACCGCGAGATGGGCATGAGCTTATGTGCATGTTAAGTGTGAGTTGTTGGCTGAATATTAGGAGTTAGTTATGTGCTAGGGAGGGCGGCCCCCACGACTTGAGATTTTTAACTCAAGGCGGCGTTTGTGTTTTGAAGATGCCACACCTGCTGGGAGGCGGGATCGTGTTTCTAGCTATACCGATGTCGCGCCTACTGGGAAGCGGAATCGGGCTTCTACGTAGAGGGGAAGCATCGCTCAGGAGGCGGGATGCGGTTTTATATCTGCCAAAGATGTGAGTGACTGGTGCCCCATATTTTTAGAGCACAAAGACAAGCATAGCATGCGTAAAATATGTCATAGTATAGTGGAAATGATTATCTTCATGGCATGGCATGGCATGGCATATGAGATATATTTTATCTAGCATGATTTGTAATACGCATCTTCATGGCATATGATATGAGATATATCTTAAAAGGGAGAACTTAGCTATAGAAGACGCAGCAGAGAAGCTTTAAATCTTGGAGTCGCATGTAGATGCACAAAGCGGCCTTATAGCATACTAGTTGATCCATCTACTAGTGACGGGCAAGTCGCTGGTTCGAAGTTTGATAGAAGCGTTTCCCCTTCTTCTTACATTTGATTGGGCCGCGAGCCGTTCACGGAATGCGGGGATGTGAATGTGCTTTGTGGGCCTGAATGGAGGCGAGCTTTGACGGGCTTCTATCAAAGTCGGGCTAGGTTGTGGGTCGAGCGCAGGCGAATTGGACTTGATGTGCGTGCCAATTAAAGGGGACGCGGGTCTTGGTTGGCGTCACGACTGCATGGGCCGTTGGTGGAGAGGCGGTCTTCGCGCTTCGCTGTGGGCTGGACGTAAACGAAAAGTGGTCCGTGCACCAAATCCTTGAGGTAGGAAAAGGTTTGATGGAAAAGCTTTGTCAGCGGGTGTCGTTGGAGATAGATGAGGAAGCTTGACGGTACATTTGATTTGGCCGCGAACTAATCACGGAATGCGGGGTTGTGAACGTGCTTTGTGGGCCTGAATGGAGGCGAGCTTTGACGGGCTTCTATAGAAGTTGGGCTAGGTTGCGGGTCGAGCGCAGGCGAATTGGACTTGATGTGCGGGCTAATTAAAGGGGACACGGGTCTTGATGGGCGGTTGGCGTCACGACTGCATGAGCCGTTGTTGGAGAGGAGGTCTTCGCGCTTCGCTGTGTACTAGATGTAAACGAAAAGCGGTCCGTGCACGATGATGGTGGGCGGCCCAAATCCTTGAGGTAGGAAAAGGTTTGATGGAAGCTTTTTCAGCGGGTGTCGTTGGAGATAGACGAGGAAGCTTGACGGGCGCTGAGGCGGGCTGGATGTTGTTGGGCCGTCTGAGGCGGGTCGACACCTCGGTGGAGTTGCCCCATGAAACGGCGGGCCCGTCGAGTTGGACTGAGGCGGCTTTGTGGGATGCAAGCGTGTTGGTGGTGAGCGGCCCAGATGCGAAGTAGATTGCATGTTGGTGGGCCGCACTTGAAACTATGCAGGACAGTGCCGCGTTGCCAAAGCGGGCTGAAGATTTAGCACGTGTGGGCCGAATGACGCGAGTGTGGGCCAGAATTGAAGCTAAGTTGTAGACAGGCTTTGGACAGCTAGGGGTGACGTGACAGGCTCTGTACCCTCTATTTTTGGGTCTTGTCTACTTTAGCAGACCAGATATGCTTTTGAGAAGAAACGATGAAGGCTTCTTTGGGAGAAGAAACGATGAAGGCTTCCTTTCCTTGCCGGATGGTGACGCACGCAACGCTGGTGACCGGAGTCTCCGAGATCTGGCAATTTTTTCGTTCTTTTGCTGCTGCTGGTGTCGATGTTTCATGAAGATTGGCGGCTAGAGAGTTGGTGACGATGGCGAGCACTCTAGTGGAGTCAGAGATAGAGATGACTCTAGAGGAAGAGGTCGCTGATCTCTCCTTCTTTTCTTGACCCGGATCTGTTTTATTTTCTTTCGGTTGGGGAAGATATTCTCAGATATGTGATTTTGTGAGGTTGTCGGAGCTTGGACTTTGCAGCCATTGTTGTTGCTCCGAGTTGGTCGCGGAAGAGGGGGTCTCTTCCCCTCTTCAGAAATCAAACGAGAAGAATACCGAATCAGGCCCCATGGTGGGCGCCAAAATGTTTGACCCGGATTAGTGCCGAGTGATTTGTGTGGAACCTTGATCCGGACTCCCTCGTCTGATCTCCTCGGAAGTGGAAGAATCCTGTGGAGAGTTGGGAGCAGCCCCCATGATCTACACTCCGACGCCCAAGTTAGAATAGGATATATGATAGAGTGTAGAGAATGTAGAGAGAGATAGGGTTTAGAGAGAGAACCATAAGTGGTAAAGTGAGGGAAAGGAGAGAAGTCCCTTTGCTTGGAGGGTCTAGCCTCCTTATATAGGATTCGGAGGCATCCATTGGACGCCTCCCAGTGGTGGGTGCCTCCCGTTGTAATGGACGCCCCCGGTAGACTGGACGCCTTCCGTCGATGGACGCCTTCCAGTGAATGGACGCCTCCCGGTGATGGACGCCTCCCGGTGTACTGGGCCCTAGAATGGGCTTGGGCCAAGGTGAGACGCTTTGTGGTGGGCTTGGGCCCGTATTAGGCGGGTTAATACTAGATCCAACACCCCCTATGTTCTCGAAAACACGAAACATTAACTATGTAAAAACGAAAAAACTGCCTAACCCATTCATCTAACCGCCTCAAACATAAATTTAATTATCTTTGCTACCTTTGTACTAGAAAATTTGTAAATTAGTGGTAATTCCAATCAGGTATCTGGGGTTCCGCTCATTACAATGAAGCTTAGTGATAATGATTGTCAGTTGTTGGTTGACAATATTACTGCAAGAGTCAGAAGTTGGAAGGCCAAGTTGCTTAGCTATGCTGGTCGGCTTCATTTATCTCATCGCTTGGTAGTAGCACACTCCAGTTTGGATGG